AAAGAGATGTCTTTTCTTGATAATTTCCCTTTTGCAAACATCTTATTTTGAAAGGTTAAAACATATGGCTTAACTTGAAGTACATGAGATCATTTTGTATTATTGTGGAAAAGGTTTTGGAAAATACAGGTATTCTGAAGTTGACAATGGTTTAAACATGTAAGCTTGTGTGGCCATGGGAAACTAAAATCCTCAAATTCAAAGAAAATCTCAGCCATTAAAAGATGACCCAATGAGGTTACCATTAATCAAGAAGTTGGTCATGGGTACTGACGGGTTTCAAGAAAGAAATAAGTCAAGGTACTGTTAAGCCGAGAGATATGGAATTGAGATTGTTAACTGGGGTGAACTGGTCAAACGTTGTGTGCCCAAGATGAAGTCGAGTTCCATCGAGATCAAAAGGAGATAGAGTTCCTTCAAAGAAGAAAATGCATTGAATTGCATAATTGCATACATTTTAGGCATGAGTAGGATCATGGCATTCATAATCGTATGATGGCTTAAATATCTACAGGTTTCCCAGGGATGGTTGAAGATTGAAGATATGAAAGCATCGAGATGAAGATAACTGGTCTTGAGATTTTTACAAGAATGATGTTTATACGAAAATTGAGTCAAAGCAGATTCAAATATCCAATGGCTCCAGACAAGTTTTCACGATGGAGATGGATTTTCAAAAAATTTCTCAACTTCTAAATTATTTTTTAGTATAATATTTTTCAAATATACATTCATGATGAATAATGTTTGATTTTCAGGTTTGACCTTTGAAGCAAATCATCTATAAGCCTTCACGAAAGAGTAGTGAAGCAAATTCGTTTGTTGAAGATTGAGTCCTATACTCTCTGAAGGAATAGGGAGCGGACAAGTTCGTTGAAGATTGAGTCCTATACTCTCTGAAGGAATAGGGAGCGGACAAGTTCGTTGAAGATTGAGTCCTATACTCTCTAAAGGAATAGGGAGCGGACAAGTTTGTTGAAGATTGAGTCCTATACTCTCTGAAGGAATAGGGAGCGGACAAGTTCGTTGAAGATTGAGTCCTATACTCTCTGAAGGAATAGGGAGCGGACAAGTTCGTTGAAGATTGAGTCCTATACTCTCTGAAGGAATAGGGAGCGGACAAGTTTGTTGAAGATTGTTCGAGTTCTATACTCTCTGAAGGAATAGAGAGCGGACCCGTTTGTTGAAGATTATTCGAGTCTTATACTCCCTGAACGAATAGGGAGCAGACACGTTTGTTGAAGATTGTTTGAGTCTTATACTCCCTGAATGAATAGGGAGCAGACACGTTTGCCAAAAATTGTTCGAGTCTTATACTCCTTGAAAGAAAAGGGAGCAGACCCGTTATTTGAAGATTTTTCAAGTATCACTTCTCTTGAAGTAACAGTAATATTGAGTGGTTTAATATTTTGAAGTTCTCATGACCGGACAAATTCGACCATCTTTTGATCTTTGTTCTATTCTCGTTACACGACAATGAACAAAGAGGGGTAGCTGTAGATGCTCGTTTCTATCCGGGGCCAAGTCGGAAAACCCGAAGCAATGAGAGCCCAGATGAGCCCAAACCAGATGAAGGTCCAGCTCAAGACCAATTGACAACAGTTGGATGCAGAAAAAGAAAGAGATCGAGGTTGGTTTTTAGCAGTTGAAATAATTAGATAGTGGGGAATTAAAAAACTGTAAATAGTCAGTTTTGAGGGGATATCAACGACTGAAAATGAGGAAGGATCAGAGAGCATGAGGAGAGGAATGATAGACCATTTTTTTTTTACTACACACGATAGAACAAAAAAGGAAAAGAGGGAAAACAATATTTCCATATTACAAGGTCAAGCATTGTAACAGAGGAGGGGGGAATCATCGTTTTTCAGGAAAGCAATAACAAGCAAAGAGCCATTCTTTTGGTATATTCTCTCTTTATTTCAAATTCTAGTAATTTGTATGAGTGTTTTTATTTCTAAACCAAAACAAAAAACAAAATAAAGGTAAGGAAGATAGAAATAGACAGTTAGATTTACCTCTGGTTCTGTTTTGATTGATTGTCAAGGTCGGTTTTGCTGCGTCCAGGTTGGGTTTCTGTCCCGTTTGGTTTATTTTTCTTTGGTGTTTAGGGTCTGAAGCTCTCGAGTTCATGGTCTGAGATTGGTTCAACACCGAGTCATGTTGGTTTCATACGTTTTAAAATCTTGTTTAGACTAGAAGCAAAATCAGAAGAGAAGTTAAAGGAAAGGTTCAGCTTAGCTTACCTTACCGGTTTAGGCCCTCGTCGGAGTCTATAGGCGGCATTGGTCGTTCGTTTTGGTTGAGGGTTAGAGAGGAAGGAGGCGTCTAGGCTCATTAGGTCGGTTCGGGTGCTTCATCGCTGGTGACTATCACGGTGATGGTCGGGGAGGTGAATCATGCCCGTATAGGGCTTTAAGGTTATCACAGAGGGCCGAAAGAAGAGGCGAGAGAGAAGTAGAAGAAGAGGATAGAAGGGAAATGGGTAGAGAGAACGGCGTTGGGGAGTGTTAGGAGAGCAAATGAGAGTTAGGGTTAAACTTACATTAAGTTTGATATATATGTATGCATTAAAACTACAGCGTTTTTTTACCCCGTTTCACGTGTGGGTTAATCACCTTAGGGGCCACACAATGTTTCGTTTTAAGTCATTTTAGTCCTAGAGTCGAGTCTTCTATATTTTAATTTTGTTACTTTATTTTACCCGCAATTAAATCTGGTCCAAATTGTAATTGTATTTAATTTATGCAGTTTTAGACATTTAACCTCTGAATTTTCGCATGTTAATTTTAGTCCTGCATATATTGGCTTTATTATGGTTTTAATCCTTTGTAATAATTGTTAGTACTCAGTATGGTAATATTCGTATTTATGCCTTAATTGTCATTTTGTTTGCATTTTAGATAGTAAAATTCTGTTTAATATGACTTAGTCATTAGTCTAATATGTATATATCTTTTTTAAAATTTATAGTTTAGTATGTTATGATTTTGTTTTTATATTTGAGTCATATTTGTACATAATATGTTAATATGCATAATTTATGATGTTTAATTAAAATATATGCATATAATTTTTTGTATGTCACATTGCATAATATTTTTAATTTTGTTTAATTAATTTTGGCATGACGTCTACTTTTTGCATAATTTGCGTGATATCCTCATTTGCATAACTCGACCTATTACATAATCGGACTAAGGGTAATACCCTTTTAATTTAAAATTGTTGAAGTGGGCCGTCATAACTGATTTGAGGTCCGCTTTTAATGATTTTAAAATAAAAGTGTATCCCGAAAGTGAAACAAAAAAATTGATCCGTCACCTAAAATTTGGGAACGAGAGAAAAAGAAATGTTCGTTTATTTAAATATATCGAGAAAAGGTTGTTATATCTTTAAGATCTGGTCTCGATATTTGTAAATAATCGAACATTCTTTATCTTTCTAAAACGATTCGGTAATTTTAATTTAATTTATTTGAGTGCTTTTGAATGTTTTTAAATTTACATCCTTGTTTTATGAGATCAAAAATTAAATTAAATTTGAATTTGTAAAGTTCATTGCAAAGACGTTAATTAATCGGCTAGGTACCGATTTAGGGCGTTGTGGGGGTGCTAATCCTTCCCCGCACGTAACCGACTCCCGAACTTGAATTTTGGTAACACATACCCTAATTTGTTGTTTTAATTAAAGTTAATTTTTATTTAAAATAACAAACATTTTTGGGTGCCCAATCACACCCTAATCAAAGATTGGTGGCGACTCTTTGAACCATATTTTTTCGATCGTAGAGGAAATCCAAAATTTTTCGAAACGAGAGGTTTTTTAAATCGCATTTATTTTTAAATTAAAAGAGGTAAATTAAAAATTAATGTGGTTTTCAAAATCTCACCTTTTCACCTTCTACGAAAAATCGATTCGACACTTAAATAATGGGTTGTAGACCTATTAGGATCACTCTCATTTCTTCCCTTAGGGTCTTTCGTCTCCCACCCCTCTAAATAAGGGTAAACTACACGTTTAGTATCTCAACTGTCATTTTTTTCTGTTTGGTCACCTAACTATTTTTTTAAAATCATAACTAATGTTATGTTTTGGTTTCATTTTGGTCACTCAACTATTATTTTTTTTTTCAAAATCATACCTAACGTTACGTTTTGGCTTCATTTTGGTCATCTGCCGTTAAAAATTTAACAAAACGTAAACATGTCTTTTTTTGTTTTTTAATAATGATGTGGCATTATCTTATGGTGACACATCAGCATCACCGCTAATTTTTTTAATAGTGGGTGATCAAAATGAAACCAAAATATAACGTTAGATATGATTTTAAAAAAATAGTTAGGTGACCAAACAAAACAAAAATGACAGTTGAGATACTAAATGTTAAGTATGATTTTAAAACAAAAAATAGTTGAGTGACCAAAATAGAACAAAGTGATAAATGGGGTACTAAATATATAGTTTACCCTATAAATAATTACCTCATCAATACGGGTTTTTGATTATAAAGCATCTTATTTGTGTTAACTTTTGGTGTCATTAAAACAGGTTATGAAGGCTACTACCATTTTGAGTACCAGTATTGATTGATGAATACAGCAACAATGACCTCTTTCTTGTCATTGAGTACCAATATTGATTGGTGAATGCACCAAGAATGGTCTCTTTTTTAAGTCTTTTTCCCCTTTTTTAAGAATAAAAAAACATAAATTTTGTAACTAAGAAAAAAAATGCATGGTATAGATTCACTCAGGCCATTGATTTAGTGTTTTTTTTTTCATTTTAGGCCTATAATTATATATAGCTCTTGCCTTTGAAATTTTCATTTGTACATTTGGATCTCACTTCTAACTTGGAATTGTTAACTCCTGATATATGCATATGACATGGGAGATCAGGAAAATTGGAAATGTTAAAATCAGATTATCAATGAATTGGATAAAAATAAATTTGGGTTCCTTGATAGTGTACTCAACTTACAAGTTATCCAATAGGGAAACATCAGAATAAAATTTTCATTATTTCAGATCATAAATCATGTAAAATTTTCATTATTTCAGATCATAAATCAAAGATGCTAATCCAAATGGTTCAGTACACTGATGACTTTAAAGGGTACATATCTATTTGAACTAATACAACACAAAGTACGCCCTTCATTGTGAATAATGATGAAACCATCTTATTACCTTTTGTTGCGTGGAACATGTTTAAACTGGACTGGATCGTCTACGGATTTGTCTTTGATTTCCGACTAACGGTGATGCGCCTTGAAACAGACCGCATGGTCACAAACTCCTCAGCAGCCGAAGGATGAATCCCCACCTTCAAACATCAGTTACACCGATCATTACAACTATGTCAAAGCTAGCTTTGCACATGGCAACACATAATTCAGTCTATGGGTTCAACTATTTGCTACTTATTGGCTCTACCTAAAATCTAACTCCTTTACTGAATTGATTTAAAATAGCAAATGCAGCTTTATGTTAAATCCATCCAATGTATACTATTGGAGTGAATGTGTCGGACCAGAATGTAAGTAGTGTTTAAGTTAAACTCTAAATCCTAACTTATCTCTAAAACTATCTCCTAATTTGTAGAAAAGATGACTCCTATCTAGGTCTCTAATTCATGCATATAAAAATCCAATGTATCCTCTTGTGTAATATGAAATTGTTCTTTGAATAAAAATAATTTCAGAATAAAAAACCCTGTTTACCAAAACCGGAAAACTCTGTTTACCAGATCCGGAAAACTCTGTTTCTACACAGAACTTGTTTTCTACACAAATTCAACTTACCGTGCAGTCAAATTGTGCCTTAGTCGCTCCACACTTTAGTGCAACAGCAATGCCCTAAAAAGAAAAACCAGAATCAGAACGTTATCAGGTCTAATATGAAATGTGGTTCAACTTTTCCCAGAATGCAGCCCTATTGCAAGCGAAAATAATGCATGCGACATATTGTGTGGATTACCTATTTCCCCTGATGCAGTTTATGCAAGGAAAAACTATTCACAAGCAGGGATGGTGCACCCCTAGAAATTTTAAATTATCTTATCTTTTATATGGATTATCTAATTTTGCACCCTCTAAATTTTTAATATAATTTTTTAAGTTCACACTCCTGACATAAATTCTTACGTCTGTCCTTGTTCACAAGGACAACGGGTCTATCTAATCATTACCATTTGCATAATATTTCCAAAAATAATAGCTATGTTACTCCAGCTCAATTTTCTTGAAATATCCATTTCCAACACATATAAATACATAAGATCTGACACTTCAAAGACCCCCGAATGCATGAAAACAAAATTATCCCTGTGTAGAACAGAGACCCATATCCAACAATCACATCCGAGTCAGAGTAAAATAAATAATGGATCAAACAAGGTCTCTATGAAGTTCATGATGACCTAGAAAATCATCACTTTGTCATCAGGATTTTCAATACTCTCGAGTACTTGGATTTTCCATCAAGGAAAACGGCAAAATCATTCACAGACCAGAAAATATTCAGCAAAAGACAAAAATGGACTCGCTCAATCCAATCAGACCACATTACCAACTACATTCACATTGCTTACCATAATCTTTAGTTAAGTTACCAAGGCATACGTATTTATACTGAAACATGGAGACAAAAATCAAAATAACCAACAAACATGGTACCTGCATAATTTCAGGTGAATCTGGCCCACACATAGATGCCCCGAGTACCTTGTCAGTCTCCTGATCAACGACTAACTTCATGACTGTCTTTTCTTGCCGTCTAGAAGCATAAGAAGAGAAATTCAGAAATTGCAAAACACGAAAACATTAGAAACTTAAGTGACACAATATTAGACAAAATAGATTATTTGAAAAATATATTACGTGGCAAGGCACTTACTAAAGAAGCCAAAAACCAAACAACAAGAACATCAAAATCAATAACGAGAAAAAGAAAACCAAATTCAGATTTATAAAAGTTGATCCTTTATGTAATCACCTTCATGACCAAAAACTTAGCAACACCCACAACATGAAACCTCAAATACGATTATACATAGAATGTCAAATTGCATCCCAAAGCCACATTATACAACCTCTTCAATGTGCTCTAAACTATCCATGTTGAACACCTTAACGTTTATGGGAATGTCACTTTGATATTTGAAACTAATATAAAAAAAACTTGTGATAAAACATGAGGTCTCCACGTCCAAACACAATTCTTGACTCCACATAATACAGTAAAAGATGCAAATGAAGCCATAGATTGCTACATATTTATCTAGCATCTGTTCAGCTGGAACCTATAGGTATTGGTTAAGGATTCTTCAACGATAATTTTAGGAAACAACATTATTGTTAATGCACTACTTTTACTAAATTTTAGAAAAGCAAAATATTTCTTTTTACAAATATCACCAAATCAATGCCACTATGTACTGGTTAACATTTTCTTTCTTTCTATTTATTTTTTCGTGCAACATCTCAAAATCATCATCATACCCAGATATGGTGTTCTTCATTGGATTGAAGGTTGATGTGAAAACCAGAACATCGCTATTTGCTTGTTCAATAGCCTGCTCTTCACTGAGACCAACAACAGAAAGCGGAGGGATACTGCAAAATAGCAAATGGGCATAGCAACTAATTTAGGAAAAAAGAAGTGGAATGAAAAACAATAAGTTGGAAACTAACTACATAGAAAGATAACTATATTTCGACACAACCAGAAAAATGGATGCAATCCACATAGAAAGATATCTAAATTATCCATACACACACCACAACACACCAATGCCAACACCAGAGGCGTGTTGCAAGATATAACTCATTACCTAAAAACCGCACAAGGTATATTGCTGTAGTCCGCTTTGCTAGATTCCCCACCAAAAACAGTTTTCTGAAAACATTTTCCCAAAAAAAAAGGTAAAACATGTAATTTCATTAAAAAAAATTGATTGTTCAAGTGATCACATGTGATTGCTTCTGTTAAAAAAAAAAACTAGGTACAGTAAAAATGAAAGGGCCTCAGAAAAAACACTTGCCGCAAAGCAAGTTCCTTCCATTAAGGCCACTGGAGTCAGGTTCATCCGATTTGTAACATCACCAACAGCCCAGATACTGGGGATGTTAGTGCGTGAGTACTCATCCACCTGCAAGACGAAGATAGATTGACATCAGTACTGTAATAAAAATTCAACTAGGTCATGCCACTGTTATTTGTCAGGCAATAGAACATACAGATGCAATTAAAATAATTATGTCAACTAAATATCCAACAAACCATTCACAACAAAAATAGGAAAATAAGTCATTTTTATATATAGATCAAAGATATGGACAAAATGAACAAGGTACACAAATAAAGAAAAACGTACCACACTCAATGCAACTTAAAGAAGGCTATTTCAGCCTTGTATAATATCAGCTCCAAAGCTACACATAGTTCTTTCTAAAGACATGCCTTCTTAAAATGATATCAGGAGGCAAAGTACCTTAAAGAAGGCTATTTCAGCTTTATATAATATAAGCTCTAAAGCAACACATGGTTCTTTGTAAAGGGAAGCCTTCTTAAAACTATATCAGGAGTACAAATGCACATCCTCTCTGGTACCGGTCAAAATATATTATCAAAAAGGAACAAGTAATAAAGAAAGAAACAAAACATCAGATGTGTGGCACTTAAGATCAATCACAATGAAATCATAATCATGCAAGCTAACATTATTTGTAAAGAACCTAGCGAGCAGATGCCAACTCATTTCAAGAAGAAAAAAAACTTAGGGTTTGTTTGGACACCACAGAATAATTGCAAGAAAATGTATTTACACCCTCTTGTAACTACAATGAATTATAATTCCTAAGGCCATCTCCAGCCGTCATCTCTACACTACAACATCTCTATCTCTACTCTAAAGATGAAACAGTAATTCATCTCCAGCACTATCTCTATATTACCACCAACTCTACTTTATTCACAATATTTAACTATTATAATATTGATTTTGCAAATATAAAATAAACCATATATATTTCTAATAAATATCAAGATAAAAAGCTTAAATAAAACATTCATAAATAACATTGCGAAAATACAAATAAATAAGAAAATTACAATTCATAATAATAATGCGAAAAAACAAAAGTTACATAATTATATATTTTAATTCTCCGAATTAGAATATTCATTCTACAAATGCTCAATTAGTGCATTTCGTAGAGCAAAATGAGCATTTGCATCTTTGTTTTGCCTAAATCGGTTAAGGAATTCTTGAAATTAGTCTCCTCATCTTCAACAAATTCGACATTCGGAGGCGGCGCATCTCTTCCTTCTACAATTGGAGAATTAAGATCTCGTTCACCCTCGATTATCATATTATGCAAGCAGTCATAATATCTTTCAAATTATATTTGCTCCAAAAACGTGCTGGATTTGCCACAATTGCAAATCGACTTTGAAGAACTTCAAATGCACGTTCGACATCCTTTCGACATGCTTCTTGTTTTGTCGCAAAATATTTCTTTTTGTGACCAATTGGCTCATGGATAGTTTGCACAAGAGTCACCCAATTGGGGTATATACCATCAGCTAGATAATACCCCATATTGTACTCTTTTCCACAAATGACATAATGTGTAGGAGGAGCAATACCTCTAGCAAGGTTAGTGAAAAGGTTAACGTCTCCAACACAATAATATCATTGTTGGCCCCTGGCATCCCAAAATATGCATGCCATATCCACAAATCATAATCAGCTACAGCTTCAAGAATAATTGTTGGATATCCACTTCGGCCGGCATATTGTCCTGCCCAAGCTGTTGGATAATTTTTTTATCTCCAGTGCATGCAATCGAGACTTCCTAACATTACTGGAAAACCACGTTGCTGACCAATATAAAGTAATCTAGCAACATCATCAGCAGTGGGAGATCTTAAATATTGTTCTCCAAATACCTCTCAAACAGCACGGCAAAATCTCTTGACACATTTAATTGTTGTAGACTCACCAATTTTGTTGTACTCGTCAGTTGCATCTGCCGGAGTTGCATATGATAATATGTGAAATGCAGCTATTATTTTTTGTAAAGTAGACAAGCCCACTTTCCCTGCTGCATCCCTTCGCTGCAGAAAATAAAGATCATGGTCTTTGACAGAAACAACAATGCGTGAGAATAAATTCCGCGACATTCGATAGCGTTGACGAAATTATTCTTCATTATATGTTGGATTTTCTGAAAAATAGTCGTTGAAGAGGTTGGTTGCTGCTACTTCTCGATCACGAAAGATTGTTCTTCGGCCTGGAACTGAACCCCCATGAGTACGTCTAGTGCGTAGGCCTTCACCTAGCATAAGACGACGACCACTTTCTATGTGATCAACAATTATTTGATGCTCTCCATCGCACTCATCTATTATGGATTTTAACCTATTATCGGGTGATTTTGAAGGAGAAGAATCATAATTCATTTTTGTAACTGAGAGAATTATGATAATAAGCAAATGAGTTTGGAAGTGATGAAATGGTTAGAGCATATGTTGGTATTTATAACCACAATGCATGTGCTTTTAGAAAACACAATCCATGTGAATTGGATTACAACCATTGATAAAGAAAGGAATCGTTCGATCTCAACCGTTCATTCACAATCCATGTAAATTGGATTACAACAATTGATAAAGAAATGAATCTTTCGATCTCAGCCGTTAATTCACAATCGATGTGAATTGGATTACAACCATTGATAAAGAAAAGAATCTTTTGATCTCAGCCGTTCATTCACATGTGTTTGCAAGAAAACACAATCCATGTGAAAACAATTCTACTAATTGATTAAGAATTGACTCTTTAAATCTCAACAATTCAATTTTATACCAACTTTTTCTATAAATAGACGGCATCACATTTTTTCTAACACACCTCAGAAAAATCACAATTCTTATATTTTTCATTTCTAAAATGTTGACAAAGTCACGCACTAATTGAGCATTTGTGGAATGAATATTCTAATTCGGATAATTAAAATATATAATTATGCAACTTATGTTTTTCGCATTATTATTATGAATTGTAATTTTCTTATTTATTTGTATTTTTGCAATGTTATTTATGAATGTTTTATTTACGCTTTTTATTTTGATATTTATTAGAAATGTATATGTTTTATTTTATATTTGCAAAATCAATATTATAATAGTTAAATATTGTGAATAAAGTAAAGTTGGTGGTAATGTAGAGATAGTGCTGGAGATGAATTACTGTTTCATCTTTAGAGTAGAGATAGAGATGTTGTAGAATAGAGATGAGAGTTGGAGATGGCCTAAAGTGGCGATGGGCTGGAGATGGCCTAAAATGGCGATGGACTGGAGTTGAAATTCATCTCCAAAGTGGAGATTGTAACCACTCCAGCGATGCGATGGAGTTGGTCTAAACATGTTTTGTTGACACAGTGTAATTGCACACAAATTTAGTGGGGCCCATTAATTAAAAATGAATAAAAAAATTTGAAAGTTATTAAGCTAATTCTGTGCATCATTACTCTAATCTCCCCCCCAAAAAAAATTGAAGAGTATAACTAGAGTTCCTCAATTACACTCAATTTGTGAGACCCACAAATTTTAACGATTACCCAAATAGGATACACTTTTGTAATTAAAGCAATTGCACCCAAATCCAATTAATTGGTTGTTGTTCAAACACATCCTCAATAATGTTTGATGTTAAGAAATAAGAAATAAGAATAAGAGATGGCATATCATTTAACCTTCACAGCGCCAGTGTTATCAAGTTCGACGCCTACAGCTTCCAAATTTAACCTCTTAGAGTTTGGTAATCTTCCTGAAATAAACAAAAGAAAAATATTTAGCACACTCACAAACTGATGAAAAAAAACAAAATATCTGCCAAAACAAAATACTTATATTCATAATGACATAGTAGGCCATCGTCAGAGATTAGATTCCTAAATTAGAGTAGATTATGTAATCTGTTAATTGTGAGTAGTGTTTGAATCAAACTATGTGTCCTAACTTAACTCTAAAACTCTCTCTTAATTTGTAGATGACTCCCATCTTATCTAGATCAATAATTCTTGTATTAAATATCCTATGTATCCTCTTATAAAAAAACGTGGAATTTTTTCCTTGAATAAAAGCACTTATTGTCTTCATCAGAAAAATATCTTTTCACATGGTATCAGTCGCTGGCGTCGATCTCAGCTTTGCTCCCACCGCCGTTTGATAGAAATCCGACCGGCAGTGTGTTTTCTTTGCACTGCCGTTTTCTCACCCATAAAAATCCCAACACCCTGCTACCCGTCCTCCTTGCTGAGTCACTTCCATCACAGTGTTGCTCTTCTCGCAGAGCCGCTCCAGTCGCAGCGCTGCTCTCCTCGTCGTACTGCTCTCGTCACGCCGCCGGCCCAACGCTTCCCAATCAGATTGCTACTTCATCGGGCAAGTTTTCTTCATCACGGTGTCTCCCTTACAGTGTTGTCCTCATCACAGCGGCATCACTTCCCGTCTATTACGGCCATCTACTTCAACCATTGTTTGGTAACTGTTCCGCTGTTGTTTGGTAACTATTCGGCCAACACTGTCTCTTCGCCGCACAGCCGATTCAACACTCATCCTAGCGTCGATCTCCTCAAGTCTTCGATTGTCACTTATAGCAGTGTCCCCTGCTAGTTAGCAACATATCCCAAGCTCTCAATTCCTCGACAGTCATGGCATATCCTTCTTCGTCCAACCTGTCATCCAAGGCTGAAACTTCCATTGTTCAGTCGTCTCCTTCCGACTCAGTTTCCTCGTCCATTACTTTTCATCGTCTAAATGGTGAGAATTAGATTGTCTGGTCTCAATCTGTGCTTCTGTTCATCACCAGTAATCGGAAACAACAATATCTCTCTGACAATATGCCCCCTATACGACGACACTTGGCTCACCAAGAACACCACGATTATGTCTTGGCTCCTCAACTTTATGTTGCCTGACATTAGCACAAATTTCATGCTCTACACCACCGCCTCGGAAATCTGAAACGTTGCCAAGGAGACGTACTTTAATCAGGAAAACTCATCCGATCTGTATGCCATTGAATGTCGAATCAATGACTTGAAGCAGGGCGATCTCACTGTTACCCAATACTTCACTCAGTTGACTCGCTTATGGCAGCAAATTGATCTGTTTGAGTCTCCCGATTGGCAAACCGGTGTAGATGTCAAACTCTACAAAGGGCTACTTGGAAAATGATGTATTTTTCAATTCCTATCGGGGTTTTTCGTCTCTCTTGATGATGTCCGTGGCCAGATTCTGGGCATCAAGCCTCTTCTGTCTCTTCGAAAGGTGTTCTCTGAAGTTCGCCGCAAAGAAAGCTGTTGCTCTCTGGTGCTTCCTCCACCCGTTGAAAGTTCTTCCTTTAGTGTCCCCGGGATATTCTTTCCACCAAATTTCCTCATTTCAAACCTTTTACCTATTCTATTCCTCTTCGTGTCTTTGGTTGTACTACTTTTGTCCATGACCACAATCGTCATAAATCTAAACTTGACGCTCGAGCAATTCGGTGTGTCTTTGTTCGTTATTCATCCCTTCAGAAAGGTTATCGTTGCTACTCTCCTACAAAACGATTCTTCACTCCTATGGATGTCACTTTTCAAGAGCATACACAATTCTTCTCAAAAACCAAAATCCAAGGGGAGAGTGAGTCTGAATTTCAATTTTTACCGATTATTACTGAGTTACCCATCAGTCCATCTTCTATTGAAAAAACTACCACTTTACAACCTCTTAACACCACCACATCTGATAATGAAAACCAATCCTTAATCTCAAACTCTCATGAAACACCCAAGCCATCTACTAATATTCTCACCTACAAAAGACGACCCAAACAAATTTTACCTTCTACACCGCAGCCAATGCATTGTCAAGAGCTAGAACTAGGTTTAAATCCATCGACAGACAGAGCAGATGGTGGCCAAAGTAAGTTAAATGTGGTAATTGATACTAGTGAGTTACTAATTGCTCAAAGAAAGGGAGTTAGACGATGTACAACTCATCCTATTAGTAAATTTGTTGCTTATGGAAAACTATTGTATGGTTTTAAGACTTTCACAGCTCAAGTTGATCATATTCACATTCCACAAACCATAGAGGATGCAAAGAAAAGTCCTAAGCGGAAGAAGGCAGTTGAAGAAGATATTTCAGCTCTAGAAAACAACAAAACTTGGGTGATCGTTAATCTACCAGAAAACAAAAAATCAGTCGTCTGCAAATGGATCTTTACTGTGAAATTCAAGGCAGATGAAAAAATTGAGAGATATAAGGTTAGACTTGTGGCAAAGGGGTTCACTCAAACTTTTATGGAGTTGACTATCAAGAGACATTTGCTCCAGTTGCAAAACTTAACACTGTTCGAGTTCTATTATCCTTGGCGGTGAACAAGGATTGGATACTTCACCAACTAGAGTTAAAAAAAATGCATTCCTCAATGGCAATCTGGAAGAATAGGTCTATATGCAAGTTCCACCAGGAATCCATTCTGGAAATAACCGAGTATGTAAATTGTTGAAATCCTTATATGGTCTAAAACAATCACCACGAGCTTGGTTTGATAGATTCACGAAGGTAATGTTACAAGACAACTACAAACAGTGTCAATCCGATCACACTCTGTTTGTAAAATCTACTCCTGATAAGAAGTCAATCTTGATTGTCTATGTTGATGATATCATCATCACAGGTGATGACTTAGTAGAAATCGAAAAGTTGAATACATTACTAGCAAAAGAGTTTAAAACCAAAGATTTGGGAACTCTGAGACATTTCCTAGGCATGTAAGTAGCGAGATCATGAGAAGAATGGTCATAAATCAAAGAAAGTATAGTATAGACTTATTTTCTAAAAATGGAATGACAAATTTTAAGCCCTCGGAAACTCCTAAGGAAATTAACTTGAAATTGAGTAAAGTTGAAAACCCAGTAAAAAGGGAACATTATAAAGGCTACTTGGTTTATGACAACAACTATTTTGAACTTTAGAGTGTTAGCAAATCTGCGATAAGCATTGCAAAGAATCCGGTACACCACGACAGAACCAAACATGTGGAGATCGACAAACACTTCATTGCAGAAAAAGTAAATGACGAAACTGTGAAACTAAACTACGTCTCTTCACAAAACCAGCTAGCTGATGTATTAACCAAGGCACTTCCAAGGATTACCTTTGACGAAATTACATCCAAGCTGGGTCTTTACAATATTTACTCCCCAGCTTGAGAGGGAGTGTGAATAGTTTTTGAATCAAACTGTGTCCTAACTTAACTCTAAAACTATCTCCTAATTTGTAGATGACTCCTATCTTATCTAGATCTCTAATTCTTGTATATAAATATCCTATATATCCTTTTGTAAAAAACATGGAATTTTTTCCTTGAATAAAAGTACTTACTGCCTTCATCAGAAAAATATCATTTCACATTAATATCCTAGTGAATATATTGTATTTAAATAGAATACCTAACTCTAAGGAATAAGATTTATTCCTAGAATCAATCACTTACATAGTTTAGCAGTTTCCTAAGATAATGCAGTAGTGTGTACATTTAAACCATGTAATTCTCCTACATTAATCAAGTGAGAAATTCACATAAATAAGCCTTTTTGACATGGTATCAGAGCGACAAAAGCTCTCTGTTCTGGGTTAAATCATCGTTGCTTAACAGTCCCTTTTAAGTCTTATCCTTCCTTTAAAGTGTGAGATATATCCCCAACAAGAATATGGGTGATGTGGAAGACTAGCAATACAGAAACAGTTCAAGGAGGCACAATGAGTAAAGGAAGTCACCCAATTCCAGTTAGTGACTTACAAAACATACAAGCTGCCTATAGGTTAAACGGTAAAACTATCTCAAGAGGTCCCAATTGGTTCGAGCTTTCCTAAAAGGGAGTGGTAAACTCAGCCATCTTCTTGGAACGAGTCCTAAGGAAGGAGATCCTAAATTCAAGGCTTGGGATGAACAAGACTCGCTAGTTATGTCTTGGTTATGGAACTCAATGGTACCTGAGATAAGTGACACTTGTATGTTTCTAAGGACAACCTAGGAGATATGGGAGGTTGTGAAACAAACCTATTCGAAGGTCCGAGATGCTGCCCAGATATATGAAATTAAGAGCAAGATTTCTTACACCAACCAAGGGAACAAATCAATTACAGAATATTCTAACATGCTACAAAATCTGTGGCAGGAGTCAATGCATTGATATGAAGTGCAGTGAAGATGCAGTTGTCCTAAAAAGGTTTGTCGAAAAGGATAAAATTTATGATTTTCTTGCTAGACTAAATATAGAATTTGATGCAGTGAGAGTCCAGATTCTAGGAAAAGAAGACTTAACCTCACTGAATGAAACTATTTATATCAGTCGAGTTGAGGAAGGAAGAAGAGGAGTGATGATGGTTGAAAACAATCAAGTAGAAAGTTCAGCCTTGGTTACTAGGGCTGTAACTGAGGAACCAACACGACTGGAGCAGCAGGGCACTGAAGCAACAGGGCATTAAAGCAGCAAGAGCAGTAAACAGGGATTCTTTACGGTGCACTTACTGTAAGAAAACTCGCCATACTAGAGAAAAGTGTTGGAACTTACATGGGAAAACACAGTCAACAATAAAGAATCTTATAGAGAAAAAAGGTTCATCAAGAGGACAAGGCAAAGCTTATACAACCAAACAAGTAGTTAAGGAACATGAATAACAGCCTGTTGAGTTCAACAGATAAGAAGTAGAAATGCTAAAGAATCTACTGGAATCCTTGGAGAAACCTTCCTCTGCAGGTACATGTAATCTGGTTTTCACAGGTATATTTTCTTCCTTTTCTCAAGGTTCTAATGTCTTGGAAACATCCTGCCATATACCTTCCCAAATTCTTGGGTAATCGACTCTAGAGCCACAGACCATAAGACCAATTCCTCACTCAAATTTCTTACTTACACACCCTATCCTAACAATAAAAAGATGACATTTGTAGATGACACCATGATAACTGTTGTTGGCCAAGGGGATATTTCCATAAATGGAACCTTATTACTTAAAAATGTTCTACATTTTCCCAAACTATTTACTAGCCTTATATCCATTCAAAAGCTTATTAAAGATGTCAACATAAGTGTTTTGTTTCATCCAACACAATGCATTTTTCATGAGCAAGAAACGAAAAGGATAATTAGGTGTGCTAGGGAAGTAAACTGTTTATACTACCTTGAAGACAATAGTGGACCAGTTGGAGCCTTGAATAGCCAACCATTATCCTTTTTATATGAATCTACAACCAATAAAGACCAAATCTGGCTACACCATTTTCAACTTGGTTATTCACCTTTTAAGATTTTAAAGACTATGTTTCCCTCTTTGTTCAAGTCTTTAAATATTGAAGAATTTCATTGTGAAGTGTGTGAACTTGCAAAAAATAAAAGATCTTCCTACCCAGCAAGCAATAAAAAGTCAACAAATCCTTTTAATCTTATTCATAGTGATATTTGGGGGCCTTCTACTATTCCTAACATAACATGGGCTAGATGGTTTGAGTGTTTATAGATGATTGTACTCGAGTTACATAGATCTTCCTTATAAAGAAAAAATCTGATGTTAGCTCCACTTTTAAGACCTTCTATACCATGATTAAGACTCAATTTGGGGCTGAAATAAAGAGATTCAGCTCTGACAATGTAAAGGATTAATCAAATCCTATCTCCCTACTTACTAGAAAAAGGTATTATACATGAATCCTCATGTGTAAACACTACCCAACAGAATGGGGTAGCAGAAAGGAAGAATGGCCATGTCTTTGCCACAACAAGAGCCCTTTTATTTCAAAAAAGAAGTCCTAAACAGTACTGGGGAGAGGCTGCGTTGACTACCACTTACATGATAAACAGACTACCAACTAAAACCCTTGAATACCAACGTCCCATTCAAATCCTCACCAATTTTTTTTCCAAATTTCAGTCTACCCCTTAACCTAAAACCTAGAATATTTGGGTGTGTTGCTTTTGTTCATATACATTCACAAGGCAGGGGTAAATTCGATCCAAGGGCATTAAAATGCATATTTATTGGATACTCTTCTACCCAAAAAGGTTACAAGTGCTATCATCCACCTACAAGGAGATACTACACCTCTGTTGATGTTAATTTTGTGGAAAAAGAGAGCTATTTAAAAGTTCCTTATCTTCAGGGGGAGATATCTTTTAATGAAAATAGGGATACAAATTTTTTCCTTCTTCAGCCCCTCATTGACCTTCCTACTACACCCATCCAACACTTTGAACAACAGACACAACTTGAACTGTCTGCTCAACTTACTTCCACTCCAGCTTCTCCCCAACCAGAGCCCAAAACACCACAGACAAACATTCAGGACTCCACTCGTCCCTTACTGATTTATTCAAGGAAGAAGACACCTATGCAGATTCAATCATCCCCTTCTCCTGCTCCTACACAATCTGAGGTACACTCTGAAACTCCTTCTGATCAAAATAATGTGGGAAATACTATATTTACTTCTAATTTTGAATTTCTCATTACTATTAAAAAAGGAAAAAGAGCTTGTACCACAAACATCCTTCCTACTTATTCATGACTTACAAAAATCTATCCTCTAATCACGAAGCTTTTCTCACCAGCCTAAATGCCATTAATAAACCTAAAACTATTTATGAGGCATTAGAGAATAAGAACTGGAAAGAGGCTATGAAAAACAAAATGGAAGTGCTCGAAAAGAATAAAACATGGGACTTGGTGGAACTGCCATAAGGGAAGAAAACAATAAGGTGCATATGGGTGTTTACAATAAAGTATAAATCAGATGGCTCCTTAGAGAGGTACAAAGAAAGATTGGTGGCAAAGGGATATTCTCAAACCTATGGGATAGACTACCTTCAAACTTTTTCTCCTGTTATAAAGATGAATACAATAAGAGTCTTACTATCCTTGGGAGCTATTCAAGGATGGAATTTGCAACAATTTGACATTAAGAATGCCTTCTTGCATGGAGATCTTGAAGAGGATGTGTACATGGATATACCACCAGGATTTGATTCAAGCACTGGAAAGGCATTCTGCAGATTGAAAAAAGCTCTATATGAATTAAAACAGTCTCCTAGAGCTTGGTTTGGGAGATTCACTAAGGTGATTCTAAGATAAGGTTTCAAATAGAGCTAAGGAGATCACACATTGTTTGTGAAACACTCCTCTTTAGGGAAAGTGATTGTTCTTTTAGTATATGCAGATGATATAATTGTTACAGGAAATGATGATGAAGGAATTGACAACCTGAAGAAGTGTCTTATAAAAGAGTTTGAAGTAAAGGAACTTGGAAGAATAAAATACTTCCTTAGGATTGAAGTGGCACACTCAAAGCAGGGGATTTTTATCTCAACAAAAGTACATTTTAGATTTGTTGAAGGAGACTGAAAAACTAGGGTGTAAACCAACAGAAACTCCAATAGAAGTCAATCACAAACTTGGAGAGACAAAGGATGATGATGCAACAGTTGATAGAGGTTCATTTCATATACTTGTGGGAAGGCTTATTTATTTATCACACACAAGACCAAACATAGCATATGTTGTTGGAGTTGTAAGCCAATTCATGCATAATCCTAACGTCTAAGGGTTGTGGCACAAATTTTGCAGTACTTAAAGGGCACACCAGGCAAAAGAATTCTGTTTAAAAGGGGAGGAGACTTGACTCTGGAAGCATATACTGATGCAGACTACGCAGGTTCCATAATTGATAGAAGGTCAACTTCAGGGTACTACACCTTTTTTGGAGGAAACCTTGTCACTTAGAGGAGCAAAAAACAGAATGTTGTGGCTAGATCCAGTGCAGAAGCTGAATTTCAAACTATGGCGTTAGAAATTTGTGAGTTATTATGGTTGAAGATTATTTTAGAAGACTTGAAGGTCAAATGGAGTGGACCAATGAAGCTATATTGTGACAAGTCATCAATTAATATTGCTCACAATCCAGTTCAACATGACAAAACAAAAATGTTGAAGTGGATAGACATTTCATAAAAGAGAAACTTGACAATGACCTAATTTGTACTCCCTGTTTAGCCACTAGAGATCAAGTAGCATATATACTTACCAAGGGTCTACCTGGTAAGTATCTTCAGAAGTTGACAAGCAAGCTGAGGATAGAAGATATACATGCTCCAGCTTGAGGAGAAGTGTCAGAGATTAGATTCCTAAATTAGAGTAGAATATGTAATATGTTAATATCCTAGTGAATATATTATATTTAGTTAGAATCCCTAACTCTAAGGAATAAGAATTATTCCTAAAATCAGTCACTTACCTAGTTTAGCAGTTTCCTAAGATAAGGTAGTAGCCTTTATGACAGCCATCAATAGGCCAAGTTTGTGAAAACATGTCAAAGATCAAATATAAAACGTTTTCAGAAAACCGACATTCAAACTATTAATCAGGACCATGAATAAGTACTTATATAAAGTGCATCAAAATAATAGCAAGTACTTGTATAAAGGGATCAATGGTTCAGAGCATTTACTTTTCGAATTCTTCAGAGAACAAGTAAAACAAATAGGCCAAGCACAATATTCTATCTTGCAATTTGCAAACATAACCAGTAATAAAATATTATGACTGCATGTAAGTTTGATCATCCAAACATATTGTTTAATGGCCAAAAAATAAGCATTTAACATAGAGCATATACACATTGAGAGAGAGAGCTAAATGGCAATTTTATGAAAAAATATATAAATGAAGCAAGCAAGGAAGACATTCAGTCTCTAAACATTTAGAACTCATAGTAACCACAAAGACAAGAAGCTGACTATTATTGCGAAAAGAGCACCCATGGTAATAAATAGTAAAGGTGTGCATTTGGTCAGTTCGGTCCATTCAATTTTTATATATCGAAAACCAAATTGATTTTATTATCAAAAACAAAATAACATGATTTATCTTCACGAACCAAAATAACAGTCTAAACCAAATACACCAAACTGATAAAAAAAATTAACGTTTTCTAAGATCTGTTTATAAAATAAATCATTATAAAATTAAACATCTATATGCAATTGATTAAATAATCTGATTGAGCTATTTCATATTTAGGTATTTAATTCTATATTTGGAATAAATTAATTAAACATATACATACAATTTATTATTCGAAAAAAAATTATTCTATTTTATGCGGTTTGGATTTCCAAAGCTGAACCAAATAAACCGCCGAAACCTTACAAGTTAACCATATAAACCGAAATTTTGTTTAAATCAGTTTGATTTATTCGGTTAGTTCAATTTATTCGACTATTTGCTCACCCCTACTAAACGGTGCAATGGCTATTGCCATCATCCAAGAACAGAAAAGGAAGGTCTTTTAGACACCAATAGTAAATTATACAAGATACAAAGAGAAGCAAAACAGAAAGAACTGAACAAGGATAGGAAAATGAGAAATTATTTAAGTCTTGAAAGAGGGTTGCAATTACCTGTAGCGAATAGTACAACATCTGCTATAAACTCCTCACCGTGATCTGTAATAACTTTTATGCCATTATCTGTTTTAACCAACTGAATTCATAGATATAAAAACATATATTAGCAGAAAGTAACAGATATGATGGAGAATAAAAGAAAACCTGAATAAAATTGACAAATGAGAACCTCAGTCAAATTCGTCTGTGCATGCAAATTAACTCCCCTTGCTTCCAGATTTCTTGCAACCACTGCCCTCATTTCATCATCAAACCCTCTGCAGCATTGACATAATTTTTTTATCAATAGTCTCAAGTATAGACCCACAGCCTATCTCATCCTATTTCATAACAGTCTTGGTAATTTTCTTAAGAATATCTTTAAATCCTTTTAAGAAATTACACAAAATCAATGACAGGTTAGAATTGCGATAACTTCCAAATGAGATGCCCATGAAAACAACAGAGGCACAAAAAAAGTGTGAAGCAGAAATTTCTTAACACTTTATGAGTAAACATGTAAAGCAATTGCAGTCACTATAGGACTGGTGAAAATACATCAAATAAAATTAACTTAGATCAGATCTGGGAGTTCTTATGAAATACAAGAAAATATGGCACTAATAAATAAGATCAGACTGGATAACGACCTCAAAGGAAGCTCCCTTCTGAAAAAGAGATTTACATCAGCACCCAGCCCTCTCCAGATTGATGCAAACTCAACAGCAATGTACCTAGACGAGTATAAGTCATCTTGGGATGTTAGCAAACTAAACAGATGAAAGAACAAACACGGAAATAGGAAATCTATCGTACCCTCCTCCGAATACAACAGCACGCTTAGGCAAGTCCTCCAAACTCAAAGCTTCATCAGAAGTTATGCCCAACTCCTAAAACATAAAACAAGGAGAGTTGAGAAACAAAAAAAAGGAGAATGATAACCATTCTGCTTTAAAAACATAACAATGTGGTAGCTAACATATTTCTAACACAAATTACAAACAAAAACGATGAAGCGGAAGAAGACAGCAAGAGAAACTAAAACCCAATATTCTTGTAACAATAGAAAGATTCTAAACAAAATGCTAAAGTTCACAAATAATGGAGTGAAAATCGCAATATGCACCCAATGAACCAAATTTGCATACCTGCAACGATATACAAACCATACTGCCTTTAAAGGTACGCACTCCATAAATTTAAATATTGCCTCTATGGCATATCTTGCTACCAACTTAACATCAAGGTAATAGGCTTCCAGTAAAAAACACAACTTAAAAGCAATTAAAATAGATTTTCAACCCGGAATCACAGGTCTATCAGTTACAAAAGGTTTGTTTATACAAGCCTTTGCTGCAATAAATGAAATGCTAATCGTAAGGCTACGTAGTGCAATAAATTAGGACACACACTCCACTATTCTAAATCATACTGCCTTTAAAGGTACGCACTCCATAAATTTAAATATTGCCTCTATGGCATATCTTGCTACCAACTTAACATCAAGGTAATTGGCTTCCAGTAAAAAACACAACTTAAAAGCAATTAAAATAGATTTTCAACCCGGAATCACAGGTCTATCAGTTACGAGAGGTTTGTTTATACAAGCCTTTGCTGCAATAAATGAAATGCTAATCGTAAGGCTACGTATTGCTATGGACTACGCATTACCAAATTCGTCACGTTGAATCAACAATTGATAATTCTAGAAGGGAATCAGTGTGTATACCTGCCCAGGAATAAGAGGACGGTGAGCCCTGCTGCCAGTTGCAATAAGTATATGCTTAGCTGAATAGGAGAGTTTAGTTCCATCCAACTGTGTCAGCTCAACTTCATTTGGACCTACAATCTTTCCCTCCCCTTCAAACAACTTAACACCAGCATTTGACAATAACCGTTTGTATATTCCATTTAATCTGATTATTTCATCAGTCTACAAATTCAGAAGGTAAAAGAAAATTAGAAAATGAGAATATATATATATATATATATATATGCAAATGGAACAGAAGGATAACACAAAGAACCTTTTTATGAAGAAGCTTCTTCCAATTAAAATCGAGCTTCTCATTCAACTCCCACCCATAATTCCGGGCATCCTAGAAAGAAAATTGTATACATTTATCAAACATTTCCATGTGGCTAACTAGATACCTTAGATTTCTCCATGCCAGAAAACATCTGAATTTAGACAAGTTCAAGAAAAGAATCTAACGAAAAAGATGGGAGGGAGGGAACTAGCTGAACATATAAATCAAGAAACATTAATGAAAAAATAAATATATTTTCATGATAACTACAAACACTGCATATAAAGTGGACTGCTACCTCTGTCACCCACATCTTTACTTATTTTCCACAAAAATAAAATCAGAGCAATAACAGGACAGAGAACAATCAAACCAGAATGGAATTTTCAAGAGGGCTCAAGGAAAAGTGAGTATATTCCTAAAGGAAATGTTATAGCCTGAAACTCAAGAGGGCTCATGGAAAAGTAGATATATTCCTATTGGAGAGGTTATAGCCTGAAAAAATCTAGCTTGCTACTTATTTCTTTCAAAATAGAGCCAAATCTGAAGTTATATAAGAGTTATAATGACCGGAGTGGCAATGGCTAGAAAGCTATACATGTCCTAGTGGTCCAACCATTACATAAGACATCAGTAAACAGATTGAATAGTTTGATACTTACAGAAAGATCGTGACACTCTCAATTTATCAAGACTGATGAAGTACATATTAAACTTTCTATGAAGTTATCATTTATTTACATATTTTCAATCAAATGCGATTCCAAAATAAATCACAGTCTCACCTCAAGTTCACCTCCAAACGTTGCTCCATAAACCAAAATCTTTTTGGGGACACAACCACGTATAACACACCTATGAAACAAAATTGAGAGAAAATTATACGCAAACATAGCAGCTTAAAGACACAGAAAAACTGTTTAAGTTCAAAAATGATTAACTTACGTCCCACCAACTCCTCCAATGACTTCTGAACTGATTGGATGAAATGGGAGCTCGCAAATCCCAACCTTAAAACATGAAATTTGTTTAACTAACAGATATAGAAATATAAAAATTGAATTAATACCCAAAAGAACCAGTATTTATAAAGAAATTTTTAGAAAATGGAAAAAAACTAAATTCAAGAAACGATGTGAACAAGAGCGAGAAGTTAATGGCCAACACTCCATCACAGCAAAATGAAAATGCAGACATAGTTTAGTGATCAAAATTAAATGGGAGAACAAATGAAGCTATTAAGATTTTAAAAAAATTAATGAAAAAGAAACTGGCCAACAAAATAATTTGTGATTTATAGTAAATATCTTAATGCAACAGAAAACAGGAAAGATTAAACAGATCAATGTCATATTTTGACATAAACAAATTTAAAATATTGAGGTTTAAGTGATCCATCTCATTAAAAAATTTCCATTAAGCTGAACAACCACTACAGCCCCAGGAAAAAAAATACAAGAACATAAATGAAAAACACCTTTAGCTTACACTTAATATCTATTCAATTTATCACACTGACCCAAAACAAAAAGCTTTTAAATTGTATACTCTCCTCTGTAACTAATTTGAAGAATATTTTAGTCCAATTTGTGGAAAAGCATCCAACTTAGAACCGATCACCATGTGCATTATATGAAAACCAGTATTTATCAAGCAAAAAGATTAAGAAGTTGACAAATGTTCGAACAAATCCGATTTGCTTAAAATAAGAGAAGCTAGAAACTTGAGATACCTTAGCTCCAAAGTTAGCGGAGAATCTGGCAGCACGAACGCCACCGCTTCCGGCGCCGATAACAAACAAGTCGAAATCATAATGAGCCTCCTCTTTATTGGTTTGGTCCATTTCTTCATCAACTAATATCTTCCTGGCCATGATTTACTTCGAAATGGAAACACGGATTCCACCAGTAAAACAATAACAGAGTCAAAAAAAAAAAGCGTCAGCCACTTGTTGGAAGATCTCGATATAATAATAATTTTTGAAGAAAAAAAATGGATTTCGAAATGAAAGGATATTACCTCAGTGAGTGAGTGGGGCTGGAGATTGGGAAAAAAAAGAAAAGGAAGATTGTCTAGGGTTTTAAAAGGAATTGAAATTTGGATAAATTACATTTTCTTCACTTAACTTTACTCTCTCTTCTATTTTGCTCACCTAACTTTCAATTTTTTTATTTTGCTCACTAAACTTTGGCATTGCTCCTGTTTTTGTAACCCTGTTGTTAAATAATAAACGACATTATGACATGTCACACAATATCAAAACAAAGTCACTTTAAAAAACTAAATTTATACCAAAACGACGTCGTTTTTCATCTATATAAAAATATAAAATTTCCTTCATCTCATTCATTCTCCTTCTTTCCTTATATTCTTCTCCTTTTTATTTGTTTCATTTTCTCTCGACATGGTATAACTCCGACCATCATTTGTCACGTCTGATCATCACACTCTTCACCGTTAATAGTGGCCAATAAGCCCCAAATTTTTCCAACAAACTCATTTTTTTCTCTTGAATGCAAATCTAGTGTCCATTTAACCTAAAACCCCTTAAATTTCATGGATCTAACATTGAATCTTTCAATTTTTTGTTATTTTCCTTTACTGTTCAACATCGACCTATCGTTCTCACTCCTCTCGTGTCCCCTCTTCCCTATATTCTCAGTTTTCCCCTTGTTTTACTTTTATTGCATTTTTGTTTTCTCATCAATGAGATTTTGTTTTGATGTTTCAATGTTTTATTTATAGATATTATGATTTTACATAGAATTTAGAAGTGATGTTTATAGAGAGTGTTTTCCAATGGTGAGAAAAAGTGACGGTGGAAGCTTCGGTTGAGATAGACAATGATGGTAAGAGGCTGAGACGGTGGGAGTTGGAGGGTGAGGGTGGCGTGGGTGGGGTTGTAATTTGGGATTAGGGTTTAGGAATAAATTTTAAGAATTTTTATTTTTATTTTGTTTTAAATATTACATATCATAATTAAATATTAATAAATATATATATATATCATCATTATATATTAATAAAAAAAGTCATGTCATCCAATTGTTACAAGCTTAATGCTCTAATGAGCAAAATAATTCAATTTGTAAAGTTCAATGAGAAAAATAGAAAAATTGAAAGTTGAGTGAGCAAAATAGGAGAGAGAATAAAGTTTAGTGAGGAATAATACAAAGAAAAAATGTGTTAACTATAAAACACTTTTTTAGTCATTTAACTATAAAAATGTATAAAATTATTATCTCATTTAAAAAATTAACAAGTTAGTTCGTTATCATTAAAATTTAACGACCAATGATGTAACAATGAATAAATTTGACATGATTTCAAATTTAACATGCAACCTTTACAATTTGTTTTAATTTGATCTTAACTAAAAAATAAGACATAATGATAAAATTTGTAATACCCCAAAAATTTCAACAACTGACTAAAAGGTAAATTTTGAAAGTTGGTGGCTAAAGTATAAAATAAGAAAAATTCAAGGAGTTGTGTAATTTTGTAAAGTTATATATTTTGGTCCCATAAATGGATAGTTTACCTTAAAAGAAGGATTTTGTGTCTGTCAGATTTTCGATCTGAAATTTGTAGGAAAAGTTATTAATGGGTAAAGTTCGGTAAAATAATCGGATATCCGGATCGAATCAAAAATTTACAAAATTTGAATGATGGTAGTATTAGGTTAGAAATGTTGTTTTAGTACTTTTAATGTGAAAAAATGAAGTGGATCAGTCAAATTAAAAGAATTTAATCTGCTTTAATGAAACAGTGGAATTTAGTTACTAAATTGGATTTTTGGAAAATTGAAAGGGTAAATAGGAAAATTGATAAGTGGGATTTTTATTTTTATTTAAAATTATTAAATTGGAGATAGAAGGGTCGCATGGAAGTAAATACTTGGATTCATTCATGGCAATTTTGATATTTGGGCCAAAATGAAATTTTTAATTAATTTAAAATTCCCAAATTAGAGATATTTGCATGGAAATTTCAAGAAATCTGCTCTTATTCTCCAGCAGCTACCCGAGACCTCCATACCTAAGGTGAGCCAAGATTTATTTTACATTTTGGTATATTTTGTTGAGTTTTAGGACTTTGTGAAATAAGAAAATTACCTATACTAAATTCTCTACAAATTAGTATAAGTATTGCTTTGTTTCATGTTGAAATGTGAAAATGAGTTTTTAGGGTGGATGAAGGGGAAGTGAGAAATCAATGAAATAAGATGAAATAAGAGTGGAAGTGTTATTGAATTATATACAAGCTTAAAAGTTGATTTAAAGCACTTAGAGGAACTTGTTTGAATTTTCAGCCACTTTGGGTGTTCATGAAAAAATGTTGATTTTTTATTTGTTTTGATATATAAATGATTACAAATGAATGAAAATGGGTTGTAGAAGATGAAATCAAGCTTGAATCAAATTTGGAGACCATTAGAGAAAGATCCCAAAACTTTTGGCCTATTGAAGAAAAATTAGAAAAAATTATAAAATCTCTTTAAGATTATATTGGATATAAGGATGATTTCATATGGCTGGAATTGAATTTTGGACCAAATTGGAACCTTTTGAAGCTTTAAGGATATTTTTGCATTTTTAAGAAATTATAGGATTAAAAATGCAAATGTGAGAAAATTAGTGTATTGTGCTGAAAATTATAATTTGAATTATGAAATGTTGTATTGGGTTGATTTGGAAAGTTGAAAAATTCTTAGGGATCAATTTGCAAGTTTTGGAGAATTAGTGGTGAAATTGCAAAAGTGCAATGTTAATGCATTAATTTGGGAGTATTATGAAAAGTTAAATGACTTAAGGTTGAATTATTATTTTCAAGTACTATAGAGGTTATTTGGTAAGAGTTGAGTAGAATTGATTAAGTTATAGAATTAGCACTGTATATTTATTTACTGTGTTTTATCTGATTATATATGGATACATGTTTAACAATTTAGTTAGATACTAAAATATGTTCGACATTGTTTATGGCAGATAATTAATTTTCAAGTAGATCGTGACTGGATTCGAGACCAAAACAAGCAAAAAGAAAAAGGGACAGAGTTCAAGAGTGAATTGATAGAAATAGTAAGCGTTAGTGAGGTACCAGGTGAATACAACTAACTTTTTAACGAAATAATACAAGGAAGATTTGCGATGAGTCAACCTCAATCCTTTTTTTAAAAGATTTTTTAAGTAGCAATTGAGCATATATTTTATCAAATTGTTTTATTTCATAGAGTATGTTTTGGGTATGAACTGTCCAATACAATGTTTACGAGATTTTATTCGAATTGAATATATGATTAGCTTACATGCAAAATAACATATGATTTTTAGTAAGCCTTTTGTATGTAAGTGAGAGTTAATGGTACAATTAGCATGCCAAAAGGTGAAGTGAACAAGTAAGAGCTTACGAGCTACAGTAATATAGACTGCTCATATGACTCGTGTGCCTTAGTGGTGTCGAGGTGGAGTAATATGGTGCAATCTACAGGATATTTTATATATTATATGTTATGACACTTTACTTATATCACTCATGTGCCTTAGTGATACACGAGGTGGAGTAACTTGGTGCATTTACTAGTAGCAATTTCGATTGCATAGTGGGCCCTCACTCATATGACTCGTGTACCATAGATTTCTCATGGTAATATAGTGGGAAAATGTTTGATATGGTAAGAAAAGTACGAACTTGAAATGATCTGATTTCGAAAAAGAAAAGTACATTTTTGCAATGATATGAACTGAAATAGAAAAGTATAAATCTAAAATGGCATAGTGCAGTCTGAATTACATATTTTATAATAAATTCTTATTACGAGTTGACATATGATTTTATACATGTTTTATTTTATTAGTGTTTTTATATGATACTTTATTTTTTTATAAGTTAAATATATTATTTATTTTATTTTACTTATTGCATCACTAAGTGAAAACTTAGCATGAGAGTGTTTCACACGTAGGTGCAAGCTAAAAGGAAAATAGGGAGTGCATCAGCATCATTTTCGAGGAATAAGTTATGCCACCAAAATCAGTAAGTAAGGACATCTTGTCTGTTAATTTATTTGGTAATGGCATGTATATTAAAGAAGTTTCTAGTTGTAACACCATAGACCGGTACGACACATAGTCTACCGATTTAAGGTGCTACATGAAACTACCGAAGTGGCTAACCAACTTATTCTTACTTTCTTGTACTTTAAAATGATTCTTTACATCTAAGAACCCTCAAAATATATAGATACCTACATAATGACTCTTAATTGACTTTACAACTTAATTCAAGAATATACATGCCATTTAAGAAACTTGTGATATACTCTGCTCTGTACTAGGTCTAGACCTCGGTCTCTCTAAAGCTTCTCAACTACTAGATCTACTAACCTGCCCACTAAAACATCCGAAGGCTGTGCAAACTAGCTCAGCGCCACACTAATAACTAAAGCATACTAAAAGCATTACTGAAAAGCTCAAGCTATCAAGTCTACTAGTATAAGGTCTATTGTTATCTGTTTTATTCTACTAGTTCACTCCTTGTGTGTTGGACCTTACGCCCAAGCTATTATGCTTTAAAATGCTTTAGTGAGTATTCTCGAATACTCACTCTCTAATCTATGGTAGACATCATGGTATGGCTGAGGGTTCTGTATCTTAGAGCTCACACACCCCTCTAGTCTACCCTGGATATGGCCCCCGAAATTCTCTACATCAGAAACCATACCCCTAACTAACCCACCATTTCTTCTAAAGAGTGTTAAGGCCTCGGTGAACATAGTTATTTAGAAAGGCTTCGACCCTACCTAAGGATATATGGATTGAATCTATATTGTTGACTCTGTTAGCTTTTCTAAACGAACTCGTGCATCCTGGT